TTTGAGCCCTTAGAATCCTTCTTTGCACATAGGAACTCATTATCTGCGTCCTTGGACTTCTTTGAATCTCTCTTATCTTTTTTTGCATCCATTGAGACTGTCTTAAAATCTCTGGATTCTGGATTTGTTTCCAATTTAAACTTTGGCTTCTCGAATTGTTCACTTTTATGTGATAATTTTGATTGAGTTTTATCTGATTTCTTTCCTCCTTCAGGTTCCTCATCATTTACTGTTTTGGATTCTGGAGTTGTTTCATGTTGGCCTTTGTTTTTTGGGGGATTTCTTTGTAAAGTTCTTCCTTTTTTGTCATATTTGGACTTTTCAGATTCTCCATTTTCAGGATGGGTTTTAGGAGTATAAGGATTTCTGAATAGAGCCTGTCTCCTGACAGTTAAGTAAACAGATGGCCTTTGGGAATTTTTTTAAAAAGAATGCCTTATCCTTATATGATCTGGCTTCTCAACTTCCTTTAATTTTCTTTTGTCATGTCTCTGAAAAGATTAGAATAATTTTAATCATTTTTTAATAAGTTTTATTAATATGTATATATTTTTAGAAAGAGAAAGAGACCAAGTGGGGCTGGCGCAGAGGAAGAAGGAGAGAAAGAATCTGAAGCAGGCTCCATGCCAAGCACAGAGCCCAATACAGGGCTCAGTCACACAACGATGAGATCATGACCTGAGCCAAAATCAATCAGTCAGACTTTTAACTGACTGAGTAACCCAGGTGCCCCAAATGAGTTATGTCTTTTTAATATTGAAACATGAAAATAGGTTAGCTTTTCATTAACCATCTAGTTCAAATGGAAAAAAAAATCAACATTCTGTGTGGGTTATGTCTGTGAGATAACTCCATATTAGAAATAAAATGACTTTAGAAGAAATCTTGGTATTTTCCCAATGACTTTTATAAGGATTAGAGCAGGCCCGTAATGATCCATGACATTTAAGGGCTCATCCTCACAATTGATAGTGGGTTCCTTTTCAACCCCTGTATAGGAGAGATCATTTGAAACATTTTGTGCACCTTTCATCCCCAAGTTAGCTCAGAAATAAGCTGAATGCCCATTAAGATTGTCATGACAATTTTTATGATAACTATAAGCTTCAAGCCTTAGCCTCACTTTGTACTCCTGCTTTTAAGGTCTCTGATCAAATCAAGAGACTTAGAGCCCTGGTGTGAATTATTTCCCAGAACAAGGACATAAAATGAAAAAAAATGATACCATTAATTTGTGTAAAGGTACTGTAATTTTTTTAAATTCCTAATCTCAAATCTGTCAAATCTGGTTTTCATAGTGATCTCATACACTAATTTTGCATTTAGCTCTTATATTCTTTTAACTATTCAGTAGGGACTTCACTAATGAAATGGTCATATAGAATTAAAGGAGGACCATAAAGAGAAGCATGAAACTTGGATCACTAAAGATGTGGAAATGGCACTCAAATAAATGCATTGACTTACTCTGACTTGGGTTATGCTTTTAAAACATATTTTGATATCACCATGGGTGACCTCTGTAAGCTAGTTTTTCCTTTTACTAATTAATAAGATATTTACACTTTATATAAAAGAGGTAAAATCTTGAATGTCCCTGTATCTAGTATCCTGAATGCCAGATTAAAGAAAATGGAGAGGATCTGAAACCTCATCAACATTGGCCCATGTTCTAAGGTTCAAATTTTAGATGTTTTTGCAGCTGGTAAACATTTCCTGAGCGATCTCACCAGTTTCATCATTAGGTTCTGTAGCTTCCATAGCCTATTACTATATAATGCCTTTGAAAATGAGAATTATGTATAAATACAAGTATATCTGAAACAGATGGAGGTAGTCTGTTGTACAGGGAATTATAAATTTAAAATATCTGCTTCCAAAAGGAATTAAAATTCAAATTATATATTTTTATTTAAATTAATATATTGTATAGTCTTAGATTTAGTTAAAAATGACATTTTCAATACTTACAAGAACTGAGATTTGTAATTCTGAAGATCTTGATCTCTTTTCTCTACCTGGCTGGAGTGGTTTGGGAAATGTCAAAGTAAAGTAATCTTGATTCCATAATTTTCTGTTTGATTCACTGATTATAATGAGTGAGAACAATGCACAAGTTGCAGTTAATAGCCAGACTTCCATCAGCACTGAAATATTCTTAATAAATATATTGCTTAAATTAAACTAAGTTATAACTCAAAATATAGCTTCCTTCCCTGGATTCTTTAGTATATTTGCATATCAATTAGGGAAAATAAAAGCTAATTTCCTCATTTAGCACTAAATTGTATATAAAATTACATTTGTAACTTTATTTTTTAAATTAAACTTGTTTTCACAATTTTTACTTAAATCATAATAGTTAATATAATACATAAGTAAGAATGTAAAATGAAGAAAAATTTGCTGTTTCTTTTCAAACATCATCTTACATATTTTGATTTATTTTGTCATTTTGGTTATCTTGCAGACAATGTGACTTCTATAGTCTCCATAAGATCACAATGCAGAGCATAAAGTAGTCCATAAAAGTCTCTATTGATTAAATCTGATCATATATTTTAGCACACCTCTGACCTCAATGACATCCAAGCCACAAAAAATTAGGGCCACAAACCCAAATACTGAATTTATTTCAGGGAAACCTATTTAAAGATTGGTATATACACCCTTGAGCACATCCAGAATAAAGTGATCAAACCATCTGGGTGTTCTAACATCAAAAGAAGAAATAGTGAGGTAATTCAGTATAGTTCTCCTGGATATAAGGAGATTAATGAAGGATGTGATCCTATATTCAAATATTTAAATAACTGTTATATGAAAGTATAATAGTAATAGTAACAGTATAACCACAACTACTAACACATATAGTGTTTACTATGTGTCAGACTGTTTTAAGCACGTTTAATTCACACAACACTGAGTTAGATAATAAAATTTATAATTGCTTCAATTTTATAGATATACAAAAATGAAGCACTGAGAGAGGTTAAACTGCTTGCTGAAACTCATAATGGGGAAGAGCTAAGATTCAAACAGGTAATTTGGCTCAGAGTCCGTGGTCTTGGTCACAATGTTAGAGATTTTATGTATTTCCTGAGGGGAGAACTAGTTCCAGTGGGTAAAAGTTGTATCAGTGCAGGAAGATATCAGCTCAATATATAAGGAAAAATTTATTTAAGTTGTAGCTTTTCAACAAAATTGTATGTCCACTTTCGTCATTTTGACTATATTTCTTCTCTACTTTGGGTTTTGTAATTGTGATTTATCTCTACTTTGGGCTTTGTAATTGTGATTTTTAAATAAAAGGAAACTTATGTAATTAAGATTTGTTGTTATAATGAGGAAGAACAAACTAAATATTTCATTTTTCAATTTATTTATTTACTCACTTATGTATGTATTTTGAGAGAGAGAGAGAGAGAATCCCAAGCGGGCTCTGTTATGTCAGCACAGAGAACGACATGGGGCTTGATCCCATGAACGATGAGACAATGACCTAAGCTGAAATCAAGAGTCAGATACTTAACTGACTGAGCCATCCAAGCGTCCCAATATTTTCTTTTAAAATAGCTACTACAAACCCACATTAAGATCAGAAATACTTTAAACACACATATATTTCAATACACACATATACACATACACACGCATATAGATTCTTTTAAATTTTAAGAGATATAGGGCACTTTATGCTTTACTACTTTGAATGGTTATTTGTTCCAAAAAAAACAAAAGTTATTTGTCCCCAAAATAACTTTGAATATGATCTAAGTAATATTGAATTTCAAAGACTCAATTCTTACTTGATATGGAATTAACATACATTCTGATGTTTACTTCTTGCCTGTTAAAAAAAGCTTCAATTAAATTTGTGCTATAGTTAATAATAACTAATAGTAGTCATACATCAATAAATATAATATAATACAATACAATACACCAGTGAGAATGCCTGGTATCAAAAAGACAAAAATAATAAGTGTCTGTGAGGATGGGGAGAAAAGTAAACACTTGCACACTGTTGGTAGGAATATAAACTGGTGCAACCACTGTGGAAAACAGTGTAGAGTTTCCTCTAAAACCTAAAAATAGAAGTACCATATCATACAATAATTCCACTTTTGGGTATTTACTAGAGGAAAGCAAAAACATTAATTCAAAAAGATATATGAACCACTATGTTTAGCGCAGCTTTATTTTCAATAGCTAAGATATGGAAACAATCTAACTGTCCATGCACAGATGAATGGCTAAAGATGTAGTGTGTGTATATATCAACTAAAAAAATAATTACATCTTTCCATTTGCAGCAACATGAATGGACCTAGAGGGTATTATGTGAAGTGAAATAAATCAGATACAGAAATAAAAAATGCTATATGTTTTTGCTTATTATGTGGAATCAAAAAAAGAAAACAAACAATGAACACATAAACAAAAATAGAAACAGACACATAAGTACAGAGAACAAGCTGGTGGTTGCCAAAGGGGAAGAGGATGATAGGATGAACAAAATAGGTGAAGAGTATTAAGAGGTACAAACTTTCCATTATAAAATAAATAACAGGGATGAAATGTATAGCACAAAGAATATAAGCAATAATATTTTAACAATGTAGTATAGTGCAAATGATAACTGCACTTACTATGGTGAGGACTCTATAATGTTCTGAATTGTTGAATCACTATGTTGTACACACGAAACTAATATAATATTGCATGTCAACTATACTTCAATAAAATGTAACATAAATTTTGGGGTGCCTGCATGGCTCAGTCTGTTGATAGTCCAAATCTCAATTTCAGCTCAGGTCATATAACATTTGTGAGATCAAGCCCCACATCAGGCTCCTCACTGAGTTTGGAGCCTACTTGAGATTCTCTCTTTCCCTCTCTATCTCTGCCCCAATTGTGTGCACTCTCTCTCTCTAAAGAAATAAACATTTTTTTTAAAGTAACATCAATTTTAAAACATGTTAAAATACTATGTACTTCTTATGTATTATTCAATATTGTAATAAACAAACACAGTTTGCATTAACATCAATAAACATATACTAAAATACTTCAATTAAATTTATACTATGGATAATGATTATTATAAATACTATTATTAATAATCCTTCAATAGTAACACTTTGAGGATTTTTTTCATTTGAATATAGTTGTCACAATGTTACATTAGTTTCAGTTGTACAAAATAGTGATTCAACAAGTTTATATATTGTTATGTTCACAAGCGTAGCCTTATCCATCCCAATACATTGTTGTTACAATATAACTAACTATATTTCTTATGCTATCCCTTTTATTCCCATAAATGTCAACTATCAGTTTTCTGCATTTATAGGTCTGATTCTGTTTTTATTAATTTATTTTTTTGATATTCCACTTATGAGTGAAATTATATGGTATTTGACTTTCTCAGCCTGATTTATTTCACTTAGCATAACACCCTTAAAGTCCATCCATGCTGTCTAAAATCTCTTCCTTTGGGGACACCTGGGTGGTTCAGTCACTGAAGCATCCAACTTCAGCTCAGGCCATGATCTCATGATTTGTGAGTTCAAGCCTCATGTTGGGCTCTGTGCTGACAGCTCAGACTCTGTAGCCTGCTTCAGATTCTGTGTCTCCCTTTCTCTCTGCTCCTCTCCTGCTCATACTTTTTCTCTCTCTCTCTCTCTCTCAAAAATAAACATTAAAAATTGTTTAAAAAATAAAATAAAATCTCATTTTTCTTGTGGTTGCATAATATTCCACTGCATGTGTACACACAACCTCCTTATCCATTGATCTATTCATGGGAAAGTTAGTGGTTTCCATATCTTGGCTCTTGTAAATAAGGCTTCAATTAACATAAGGGTGCATATATCTTTGTGAATTATTATTTTTGTTTTATTTGTGTAAATACCCATCAGTGAAATTATTTGATCATGTGGTATTTTAATTTTTAATTGTTTCAAAGACCTCCATACTGTTTTCCACAGTGGCCATACCAATTTACATTCCTACCAAGAAGGTACAAGAAAGGGTTCCTTTTTTCTCCACATTCTCTCTTGTAAAAACTAATTGTTACTTCATGTCTTTTAACCATTTTAAAAGTTATAAAGTGATATCTAATTGTGGTTTTGATTTGCATTTCAATGATTATTATTGATGTTGAGCATCTTTTCATGTGTCTGTTGGCCATCTGAATGTCTTCTTTGGAGCATCCGGTAAGGGAAGGAGAAATAAGATAAAAACACAGAGGGAAGCAAACCATAAGAGACTCATATGCAAAGAAAACACTGAAAGTTACTGGAGGGGAAGTGGTTGGAGGGATGGGTTAAATGGGTGATGGGTATTATGGAGGGCACTTTTTGGGATAAACACCGGATGTCATATGTAAGAGATGAATCACTGGGTACTACTCTGGAAGCCATGACAATACTGTATGTTAACTAACTTGAATTTAAATTAAAAAAATGGCTATTCTCATTCCCTGCACATTTTTCAATCAGATTGCTTGATTTTTTTTCTGTGGAGCTGTATACATTTTAAATATATTTTGAATATTAACCCTTTATCAGGTATATCATTTGCAAATGTCTTCTCCCATTCACTAGGCTGCCCTTTTGTTTTGCTGATAGTTTCCTTTGTGGTGGAAAATCTTTTTTTTTTTATGAAGCCCCAATAGTTTACTCTTGGTTTTGCTCCTCTTGCCTTAGGAAACATATCCAGAAAAAATATTGCTATGATTGATGTATGAGTAATTATTGCCTTTATTATGAGAGTAATTATTGCCTGTATTATAAGAGTAATTTTTTGCCTGTATTATCTTCTAGGATTGTGATGATTTTAGGTCTTTAATCCCTTTTGAGTTATTTTTAGGTTTGCTATTAAAAGGTGATCCAGTTTCATTCTTTTACATGTAGCTGTCCAGTTCTCCCAGCACTACTTATTGAAGAGATGGTCTTTTGCCTATGGTATATTATATATGTTGTGTTTCTTTATTGAGAATCTCAGTGAGTTCTTCCACTCATTTCTACAGCCTGGTATCTTTATAATCATTGCTTTAAATTCTTTATAAGGCATGAAGGGAAAAAAAGAAAAAAAAAAGAAGAAAAAAAGAGGTTAGAGAGGGAGGGAGCCAAAGCATAAGAGGCTCTTAAAAACTGAGAACAAACTGAGGGTTGATGGGGGTGGGAGGGAAGGGAGGGTGGGTGATGGGTATTGAGAAAGGAGCCTGTTGTTATGATCACTGGGTGTTGTATGGAAACCAATTTGACAATAAATTTCATATTAAAAAAAGAAACAAAAACAATCAAAAAATAAAAAAATAAATTCTTTATAAGTCATATTGCTTAAACCTATTTCATTTAGTTGTTTTTATGAAGTTTTTTTCTTTCTTTTTTTTCCTCTTTCTTTTATTTCTTTCTTTTCTCTTTCTTTCTTTCTTTCTTTCTTTCAGAGAACATTCTTCTGTGTCTCCATTTTGCTTGACTTTCTGTGTTTGTTTCTATGGATTAGGAAGATCACTGACATTTTCTAAACTGAAGGAATGGTCTTGTGTATGGTTATCCTCTATGTAGACTATGTTGTTGGTGACTTTTACTGGCTGGCTAGAGCTATGGTTGGCATGGACTGAGTGTCTTGGGGCTTTCCAAGTAGTAGGCATCCTGTTAGGACAACTAAAAGTAAAGTGTATGCAAGCAGGGTTTTCTCAGCATTCTACACATTGAGGCCATCCTAGTAAGATAAAGCTGAAATGGGTGTAAACCATGGTGTTCTGGAGCACTCTGTGAAGGAGGCGCCTGGCAGGGTGGCTGGAGCTGATGTAATGTGCAGTCAGGAGGTCCCTGAGCTCTCCATGCAGAGGGTGCCATAGCAGAACAGCTGAAACTGAAGCGGGTACAAGTGAAGGCACCTAGGTCTCTACACACAAAAACATCTTGGGAGGATAACTGAAGACCAGAATCCACCCTAGGCACCTCAGGCATGGAGGGACCCACACAGGGAAAACAAATTACCATAATACTTGGCTTTGAAAACCAGAGAAGCCTAACAATCAGGGGGACTGAATACTGGAAATTTAAAAATCCAGGGACCAATAGTAATAATAATAATAATAAAAGAGAGAGGCTCTCTTAACTATAGAGAATAAAAAGGGTTGCTGGAGGGGAGGTGTGCGGGGGATGGACTAAATGGGTGATGGGTATTATAGAAGGCACTCAAAGTGATGAACAGTGAGTATTATTGTATGTAAATGATGAGTCACTAAATTCTGCTCCTGAAATTAATATTACAGTGCATATTGGCTAACTAGAATTTTAATAAAAACATGAAACAAACAAACAAAAAGGAGGGGGAGCTCAGTTCTGGGAGAGCTAGGAGGGCAGAGTCTCTGCCACTAAAGATACAGCACAACAAACAGCCCTGTTGAGATGTCGTTTAGAAGCAGCAGTTTTGAAAACACTTGGAGTGTGCAGGAAGGAAATTTATTTACTAATCTCAGAGAATGCCCTGGATGGGCAGGGATCTTTGGGGAACTTCTCCAGGAAAAAAAGAGCTGGCAGGTACCATTTCCTTCCCCCACACCCTAACCTAGATTCAAGGGCAACAGCAGAAATTAGCACAGTGCATACTTTCCACTTCATTTGCTTGTAGTGTTCCCCAACCCTGTGTGCTCCTGCAGAAACATCCCTGACATCCAAGCTTCAGCAGTAGTTTTTCCAGGTAGCTGCAGCCCCCTTTAGCAGCAGAAGTGTGCAGAACTTTCTGGCACTGTGCTTCCAGACCCCATGTTCTCCTGTGGACCTTACGCCCCCAATATACCCTTGTATACAGCCCATTGAAAGAAATGCCAAAAAACAGCTTCACTAGGAGCCAGCACCACTCCAAAGTGATTCCTGGCCTGTGGAGAGGGGAAGATAACTACACATGCAAATCCAACAGTGACTCAAGAAGTAGGCTGGGAGACGACATCAGAGAAGAAACTGATGGTTACCAAAGGGGAAGTGGCTTGGGGAATGGATGAAATAGGTTAAGGGAGATTAATAATATACCTATCATGATGAGCAATGTTAATGTATAGAATTATTGAATCACTATATTGTACGCTTGATACTAATATCACATTGTATATTAACTATACTGGAATTAAAATAAAAAATAAATATTTAAAATAAATAAAATTACATGATAATAAATCTTAAAATGATAAATTAAAATAAGAGACAAAACTTTTTCAGTGGATTATAGAAGATATACCAAAATAAAAGAACACATAAAGATTAATGTTTTAGTAGAGATAGTGTACTGTGTACACACTAAAGGATAGTAAGCTCATAAAGCTATACTAATGTCAAACAAAGTTAATTTTAACATAAATAAAGATAAATGCAACATTTTATAATGCTAAATGGGTCAATCCTATAGGAAAATACAAGTTTAAATTTGCATGTACTCACTTGCATAACTAAAATACACAAGCAAAAAGTTATACAACTAAAAGCAATATGCAAACTTACAATTACAGCTGGAACATTTAGTATGTGTATTTTAGTAACTAAAGGATCAATTATATAAAATATATAAGTAGAGATATAGACAATTTGAATAACATTATTAACAAAATGACATATGAAGACACTACACCAAACAACTACAAAGTACACATTCTTTTCAAGTTCACATGGAATATTTAACCAAAGTGACTATAGACTGTACCATAAATTGTTTCAACAAATATCAAAATACTGAAATTGTATGGTATATATTTGCTGACCACAGTTGCATAAGGCTAGAAATCAATAACAAAAAGAAAATTTTGAAAAATCTAAATATTTGGAAATTAACAGTATAATATATATGTGTTAAAGAGTAAATAACAATTAAAATTAGAAAATATTTTGAAATATATTTTGTATATCATGAAGAAAAATGTGATAGTTAAATATGAATGGATGCAAAGAATTACTAAGAATTTTATAGCTTTATTCATATATCAGAAAATAAAAGAAGCTGAAAACAAATGTTTTACATATCCATCTCAAGAAACTAGAAACAGAACAGCTCATTGAAGCCAATATATGTAGGAAGAAAAAAAAAATAAAGATAACATGGGCACCTGGGTGGCTTAGTCAATTAAACATTTGACTCTTGGTTTCAGCTCAGGTCATGATCTTATGGTTCATGAGATTGAGCTGTGTGTTGAGCATTTTTCTAACAGTGTGGAGTCTGCTTGTGATTCTCTGTCTCCTCTTTCTCCACCCCTTTCCCTCTTTCTCTCTTACAAAATACATGAAGAAACATTAAAAAATAAAGATAACAGAGGTGAAAAGGAAACAAAAAAAAATTATGCATGCAAATTTGAAAATTTAGGTGAAATAGGAAAATTCTTTTAAAAAGAACACATATTAAAGCTGAAATAGAAAAATATAAATTATTGTATGTATACTAAAGATGTTAGCTTGATAATTAAAAACTTACCAACATAAAGAATTTGAGGTATGGATGTCTTCATTAATAAATTCTCCCAAAAATCTGAAGAATACATAACAATTACTCACAAACTCTTCTGAAAAAGGGAACATTTATCAACTTGTTCTATGAGAAGAGAATAGACTTAATAACAACATCTGAAAAAGTCATTAATAGAAAATAAAATTAGTCTTATATCTTTTATAAATATAGATTCTAAAATGCTTAAACATTTTATCAAATTCAACACATAGAAAGCATATTATATCACAACCAAATGTGTCTTATTTTAAGTCAGTTCAACATTTGAAATTCACCACATTAACATATTAGAATAAAGGAGGGAAAGTCATGTGATCATTTCAGTATACAGAAAAAGTCTTTAAGAATACCTAACTTTTGGGGAGCCTGGTTGGCTTAGTCGGTTAAGTGTCTGACTCTTGATTTAGGCTTAGGTCATGATCTCATGGTTCATAAGTTTGAACCCCACATTGGGCTCTGCAGTGGTGGTGTGGAGCCTGCTTGCAATTTTCTCTCTCCATCTCTGCCCCTCCCCTGCTCACACTGTCACTCTCTTTCAAAATAAATTATAAATAAATAAATAAATAAATAAACTTACAAAAAAGAATATCTAAAATTCATTTATGGAAAACTTTTGGCAAATAAGAAATAGAAATTTCTTTAGCCTGTTAAAAAGAATCTATAGGATGGGGCGCCTGGGTGGCGCAGTCGGTTAAGCGTCCGACTTCAGCCAGGTCACGATCTCGTGCTCCGTGAGTTCGAGCCCCGCGTCGGGCTCTGGGCTGATGTCTCAGAGCCTGGAGCCTGTTTCCAATTCTGTGTCTCCCTCTCTCTCTGCCCCTCCCCCGTTCATGCTCTGTCTCTCTCTGTCCCAAAAATAAATAAATGTTGAAAAAAAATTAAAAAAAAAAGAATCTATAGGAAACCAGAATAAATGTAATATTCAATGGTGAAGTAGAAGCGTTCCTCTTAAACTGATGAATAAAAAGGGTGTCCACTAGTAAACTTCGATCTGACATTGTAATAGAGGTCCTAGCCTATGCAATAAAGCAAGAAAAAATGAGTTAAAAGCCTAAAAATAGTAAAAGGAGAAATAAAATTGTTATTTGCAGCCAGCACAACTGTCTACATGGAAAATGTAAGATGTTCAGACACACAATCAGAATTAATAAATGAATTTAGTGACTTTGCTATATACTAAGATTAACTGTGAAAATAAGTTATATTTCTATACACAACAATATAATTAGAAAATATACCATTTATATGATAACATCATGAGTACCAAACACTTAGGAATAAATCTAAAAATATATCTTCCAAATGTCTATAATGAAGCGTGTAAACCAATATTAAGATAAATTAAATAAAACATAAATAAATTGACATATATACCATCTTCAGGAATTGAAAGATTCCATATTGTATGTATAACACACCTTCCCACATTGATATATTGATTGAATATAATCTCAATAAAATTTTTTGACATTTTTTATAACTGATAGTTGATTCTAAATTTTACATGGAAATGAAAGAGCTAAGGATATTCAAGACAATTTGAAAAAAAATGGAAAATTATACATTGCCAAATAACAATATATCAATTTATGATAAAATGGCAACAGTTAAGACAATGTAGTATTGGCACAAAAACAAATAACCATTGAAACAGAATAGGAAATATAAAAAGATGTCTATAAAGATATGGTCACATGAATTATCCTAAAATTGTTATGCACTGGGGAAAGAGTATTTTCAACAAATGGTACCAGTCAATTTCATATCTTCAAAGGGACAAGATGTGAGTATTGGTCCTTCTCTCACTTTACACACCAAAATTAGTACCAGATGTATTATAGACATAAAGCTGAAAAGTAAAACAAAATGTTTTCAGAGGTAACATAAGAGAATATTTTAATAGCAGTGGAGTGTTTCTTAAACAGGACACAAAAATCTATAATCCTAATGGAATAGAATGACATGTAAGCCTTCTGTTATCCAATGAGGATTAACTGTACCCCTCTTCCTTTTTCTAAAAAAAAGGAAATGTAAAGAAAAAAGTAGATAAAAGACATATTTCTTCTTTGAACATCATAATAAAATATTTTTAAAGAAATGGTAGTCATAACAATATTAATAACAATAATAACTAGTATGTTTATTGTGCTTTTATAGTGTTTTAGAGTGCTTAAAATGCACTTTCAAGTATAGTATACCTTTTAATATAATAAGCTATTTTAATTTGTTTTATTTGTTCTGGAATGAAATGCTGCTCTCAAAATTATTTTTCCTTCTCCATTTATATGTCCTTTTCTTCAAATCTTCTTTTTATAAACATAACTGCTAACTGTTTTTCTCTACTTTTATTTAATTCATTATTTTTCTTGAAATTCTATTCCTTGATAATTGAATAAGTCAATTCTTCAAATTTGAATAAGAAATTATGATGTTATTTTCATTCATGTATTCATTCAACTAATAAATATTGAGTACTGTGGAAGGCTGGTAAATAACTTCACAAAATGTCCATATCTGAAGCACTGGAACCTGTGAATGCCATCTTATATGACTAAAGGGATTGTATATATGTGTTTAAGAACCTTGAAATCAGGAAATTATTCTGTATTATCCAGCAAGACACTTAATGTATTCAACAGAGTTCTTATAAGAGGAAAACAAGAAAACCAGAGGGCGATAAGGCAATCTGATGATGAAAACAGAGATTGGAACGATTCCCTTTGAAGAAGGGGAAAGGAGACACAAGCCAAAGAACTCAGGTGGTCACTAGAAGCTAAAACTATGCAAGAAAATTGGTTTCCTCTTCAAAGACTTTAGAAGAAATCAACCTTGCTGACACCTTGATTTTAGCCTAAGTAAAACTGATTTCAGACCTATAACCTCCAGAAATGTAAGCAAATGTGTTTGTATTATTTATCCCACTGAATTTGTGGCATTTTCTCACAGCAATAATAATTAATACAAATCGTGGTACCAGTAGTGGGTGTGGGTGCTGCTGTAACAAATACCTAAAAATGTGGAAGTAAATTTAGATTTGGGATATGGGCAAAGGCTAAAGGGATTTATATTGCCTTAGAAAAACTGTTAGTAGACATATGAGTGTTAAAGACTGCTCTGATGGACTCTGGAGGAAGTTAGGAGCATGATAGAAAAAGCCTATATCATCTTAAATAATACATAATAAACAAACTATTGGTAAAATACGGACATTAAAAGTGTTGATGAGGGTTCAGAAGGAAGTGGAGAGCACAATAGAGAAAATGTAACATCATCTTAAAGAATACCTATGTAGTCACAAATAGAATTTTGGTTGAACTATGAACATTAGGGTGCCTGAATGGCTCACTCAGTTTAGCATCTGACTCTTGATCTCAGCTCAGGTCATTATCTCATGGTTCATGAGATGGAGCCTTATCTGAGCTGACAGCACAGACCCTGCTTGGTATTCTCTCTCTGCCTCTCTTTTTCTATCTCCTGCTCATGCTTTCTCAAAAGAAACAAACTTTAAAAAAAAAAAAAAAACAGGAAGGAAGTTAAAGCTCCAAAGCAGTAAAACGGTTACATATATATACAACCCAGTCACAAAATTCACAAAATAGAAGGATGAAAAGTATGATATCATATGGGTGCATGGGGGAAATAAAAATTTAGTGCTTTCAGAATGGGTTCCATTTAGGTAACCATCAATTTAATATAGACAGTTATATGCATGAGAAGTTATATATGAGCTAATTGTAACCACAAATGAAAAATCTGTATAGAGATGAAAAAAAAGAAAAAAAATAATCCAAACACATTATTAAAGAAAACCACCAAACAAGATAAAGTAAAAGAGAAGAACGGAACAGAGAAAAAATACAAAAAAAAAATATGAAAAAACAAAATTGAAATAATTACACATTTATTGGTAATCCCTTTGATTCTAAATGGCCTAAATGCTCCAAACAAGAGACACATGCTGAATGAAAGGATAAAAATGCAAGAACCACTTTTGGTTCTCTATATGGTACCCAGAAGAGACCTACTTCAGACTTAAAGACACATACATATTGAAAGTGAAAGAATGGAAAAACCCTTAGTATGCAAATGGAAATAAAAAGAAAACTGGGTAGCAATACTTGTATAGAAAAAAATAGACTTTAAAACAAACACTGTAACAAGACACAAAGAAGGACACAACATAGTGTTACAGCCAAAAATCCAACAAACAGATATAACAATTTGAAATATTTATGCAGCAAAAATAGGTGCACCTATATACATAAAGCAATTATTAGCAGACATAAAGGAAGAAGTTGACAATAATACGATAATAGTATGGGACTCTAACACACCTTTACAGGAGTAAATATATCATCCAGGCAGAAAATCAACAAGGAAACAGGAGCTTTGAATGGCACATTGGACTAGATAGACCTAACAGATTCAGAACATTCTATCCAACGTGTGGAATGCACATTCTTTTCAAGGGCACATGAAACATTCTTCCAAATAAATCAGATGTTATACCACAAAACAACTCTCAATAAGTTAAAAAAGACTGAAATCATATGCATCTTTTCTGACCACATTGTTATGAAACTAGAAATCAATCACAAAGAAAAAATTTGGAAAGAACACAAATACATGAAGGCTAAATAACATGGTACTAAACAATGAATGGGTCAACCAAGAGATCAAAGAGGAAATAAAAAAATGATTGGAGACAAATGAAGGTGAAAACAAAATAGTAAAAACAAAAATTGAGGGATGAAGCAACAGCTGTTCTAAGAGGGAGGTTATGGCAATACAGGCCTACCTCAAGTAGCAAGAAAAGTCTAAAATAAACAACCTAACCTTAAACCTAGAAGAACTAGAAGAGCAAAGTCCAAAACCATTAGAATAAAGGAAAAAATAATAATTAGAGCAGAAATAAATGCAATAGAGACTAAAAAAATAGAACAGATAAATTAAACAAGAACTATTTCTTTGAAACAAAGTGTATCAACAAAATTGACAAACCTTTAGCTAGACTCAACAAGA